CACATAACCGCTCTTATAGTTCCTGAAATTCCCCCACCCACTTTTTCAGTTGTTCCAATTCAACAACCTCAAATCTCACTTGAATCACTTTACCTTTTGCTAGACCATGAATATTGCAACGGCATGCCACTCCCTCTCAGACCCATCAGCCGATCGAATACATCTTTATCAATCCAATTACATATCAATATCATGCACCTACTATATATACATATATAAGAAGAAGAAGAATGCATCTATGTATGTACCTTTTAAACGGAGGGGTTGATTGGGCAAAAGGGTGACCTCCATGAAATGGGGGTGCTCCAAAAGGCCATTTCGGGAGAGATAGTAAACCACTTGAACTTTTCTAGAGGGCTTCGCTTTTTGCTTCAACCTCACACGCTCCGGGCTCCTTTCTCTATTCTGAATACCTCTTTCACCTCGAATATTAACATCCATGCCAAAACTTCTTCCTCTGCTTAGACTCACCCTTTTCTTCCTCCTGCTCACAAGCCCACCAAGGAAGGCTAGAGTACTCTTTATGCTCCCACCAGGGAAAAGAGAGAGATTCACACTCACACTGTGTAATTAATGCAATGCTGCATTGCATTGCATGAAAATATATTAATATTATTGCATTGCATTGCATTGCATGTTTATTATTATTTTGATTTTACTATCGTTTAAGTAATATATATATATAATTTTGAATGTGAAATAATAGTGATTATTATTTTACATATTTCGATGCATGAGGCATGAGGCATGAGGGCAGTCTATTCTGTTGTAGTTCATAGACCTTAAAAAAAGCGTGAAATCAGGATGGTACATGTCGATGCAGAGAAAGATTCCCTTGTAAAAGGAGCGTTAAATAGAAAGAAAGACACAATGGGGGAGTGGGTGAAAGCAAAAGATGACAGGCTCAAGGACATGGTCTCAATCACAATCCCATAAATGAATTTAATTTTGACTTTTCTCTCACTCTCTTCCTGATTTGAGACAACAGTGACCTTTGCCAGAGATTGCTTGGTACGGCCAGCTTTTTACCAATTCTACTTCACATCGTTGACGCACTGTTACTTTTATCACTTTCCATCTCTCTTGTTTTTATCTACCAGCTCCACTTACCACTTTCTAGTTTCTACTTCCATTGCTTCACCTTTCTGCACCAGGAAGGACCGGAACAAACCGGAGGGAAAACAACAGGAATATCATACAGGCCAAAATGTAAAAACATCAACTCAAAAAAATTCTAATTTTCTTGGACCATGAAGCCACTCCAAAATTTCCTCCTCCCCATATTCATATTTCCATTTATTTAAATAATGGAAGATTCACTTTTTTCTTAACAAATTTCACCCAAATAAACACACCAACATACGAAGCAAACAAATTAGTGTCCAAAAGTAAGGTGACTAGTGTTGTTAGTTAATCATCTAATACTATGATGTACTTTAAGTTTTCTTTACAAGGTTATCTACCAGTTTTACTTACATACTTACATTAATTTTTTAGAATTAATATGAATTATTTATTTCCCTTTTTGACAGATGTAAGAAATCCTATCGGGAATCCAGAAAAATGATTGAGGGAGAAACAGAAAGGACCCAGCTAGGTCTCTAAAAGTGACCAATTAAGAGATGAAAGTGTCTGCAGGCTTCAAGTTCATTGACCACCATATCACGCTATTTTTTTTATTACCACTTTGGTTGCGCCATTGGTTTCTTATGAATTATGATCAGCACTGTCCCCTTTTATAAAGTATTTGCAGTTCGCATTTAAATTTATTAAAAAATCATGTTTGAGAAGAGATAAAAATGACTTCTTTTTTATTGACTCATTCGTAATTTCCAATGCAACCCCAGCATAAAAACTTTTTATGATTAGAGCACGGGTTAACAAAATAAAAAAAATATGTTATTGAGTTGCAAGTGTAACATTTACAAAAAAAAAAATCAATAGTTTTTTAAACTTGTATTGATTTTGTATTTATAAAATTAGTTGAATAATAACTTCTTTTTCTTCTTTTTTTTCTTCTTCTAAACATCTATATGATTATATAATTTATTATGAAATTTAAAATTAGGTGTGTATGGGTTTAATATTTGAGCTTAATTAGTATGTTGGATCATGCTGTAGAGCCATGAAAGATAAAAGCTAAGATTAGTATCAGATCTGCATCATAAAATAAAATAAATACTATATAAGATCACCTGTTATCCTTCCATTCCTAGCTAGCACTTAATTTACATATTGGCCTTCTGTTATGAACCCAATTACTGCTGTCTGCCCAGCTTTATACTAGCAATTAATTTCTGGGAGGAAAGTAGAAGACCTTAATCTTAACCATTTTTCAACCTTGGGGTTTAATAAAATTATTAAGAAAACAAGGACAATCATGGAGTTGATGATTGACGAATGCAATGCGTTCAATGATTATGAACCGATACGACTTCATATCATAAATCATTAGATGAAATTACACTATTTTAAAATGGTACGACTCAATTGATTAACATGAATAACAATATTTGTAAAATCATACCAGCCGTTCAATTGATCATAATATTGATTTGACTTTAATAATATAATAGTGATTAACTCGATATTGTGTTGGTGTTAGGCGTGCGTGGTGGTCCGGTTGATGAGTTGGGAGGGACCCAAGTTTTGGTAGGTGTGAGTTGCAGAATGCATTAAGTAAATGAAAAGGGAAAGAAACATAACAGAGAGAGTTTCAGAGCTGGGTGGGTAGAATTGATAACATGTTGGATCTTGGAAGCTCCTCTTGCCTGTGATGGATCCATCACCTTCACCTGTCGTCAGACTCAAACCCTTTTCTGCCTCTTTGCTTCCTCTGCAATGCATGCTGCCCCCACTACTTCTCATTGCTTTACTTAATTTACTACTCTTTTTCTCTACACCTTTCAAATAACCCAACATTTTTTCATTCACCACACAAATCCGTACAACGTTCATCTTCACATTATTCAATATATATATGTATGCAAATTATTTTTCTACCCTCTATAATAATATCTCATGTAACCTTTTTCGCGGGATCTTTTATAGACTTTTGTTTTCATTATTATTATTATTATTATGTAACTATAGATTAGATAAGATAATCAGATGATCTTGCCTTAGGCAAGAACTTCGGATGTGTTTGAATTATTTCTAAGCTGTTGCCTGTTATAGTTGTTTCTGTTTCAGTACTTCTGAGTTTATTGAACCTGACAGCTTATGCGTGACTATCTTCAGTAGGTTAGGTACTCAAGTTTGAAACACAACTGTTTATGTTAAATTTAAATTTTAAATTTTGACATACTATATCTAGTTTGCAGACAAACAAATAACATGTTTTGATTTATAAAAATTATATCTATATTTGTTTTTAAGTTAAAAAAAAAACTTATTAATTTTCTTCAATTTTTCCTGTGTGCATGTATCTTTTTCAATAATTTTTTAGGAGAATATTAAGTATGCATTTAAATTCATGTTGGACTATATACCAACTAACTTAATTTTAGATAAATATTTAAGTTTGATTCGACGTTGAAAATTAATTTTAGATTTTGAATTAATTGAGTAAAAGCAACTTTACGAAATCCATGCATAACAAAAAATCTTAAGCATATGTATAGCATTACTTTTTTCTCCATAAATTTCAATTATCAACATAGGTTTTGAGGGGGGAAACACTGTACATGCAATAAAGATAAAAATCATGAACCTCTCAGACTAAACAAATAAAAGAGTAAATCTGCTATGGATGACAAATATACCGTATTCGTGAGTAATACTTGAACTTGTCTCAACTTTGACAGAGAATATCTAGTTTGACCGAGAACGGGTACGAGTACCGATAAAACTCGATATATTAAATTGAGTACGGGTATGAGTATGTATTTACTCGCCCCGTGCCCGTTCCCGTTCTCATTCTTAATTTAATATCCACTTTTGATTTAATTATGTTAAAAAATTTTAATATTTTATTATGTAAGATCATTTATTATAATATGAGATAGAGAAATAATCTAATTATAATTATAATATAATAAGAAAATAATTTTAAAATATTGTATTTTTTAAAAAAAAAAATAACAGGTACAAGTACGGGTATACCCGATACCTGATGGGGACGGGGATGGGGATGAAAATTATATACTCGAGGATACTGGTACGGAGACGGAGATGAGTTTGACTCGCGAGGACGGGGACAGGTATCACAAAACCCGTATCCGACCCATCCCATTACCATCCCTAAAATCAGCCAAACAAATAAGAATCAATGCTTAAAAATGAGAAACAAAATATAAAAATCACCGAAAACAAAGCTGCTACAACAAGCAATATATCTTGAACTCTAGACTTACTTTCACCGATATGACATTTGAAAACTAAGAGCCAAGTTTGTTAAATCAAACCTATAGTCCAAAACCCAGTTTGATCAATGATGAACAAATATCTGAGTATGATTAGATGATTGTTGTTTGATGAGTATGCAAAATGACTATTTTTTTGTTATCTCTTTTTTATTATTTTTATTATCTCTTTAATAATTGTTGTTCTTACTCAAAATAATAAATCTCTTATCTTAATGTGACATCTCTCCATTTGGATGAATGAGAATAAATAATCTTGTATATTTGAGTTTTTTTATCCTCTTAAGAAACCAAAACTCAATAATTCCACGTGCGAGGGCATGATATATGGTGAGTTTCTTTCAGATCAAATTTATATTTTTCTAGTCTTATAAAAATGTTTCTTCTTGTTAATGACTAAGACCATAATTCAAATATTAAAACAATATGGATTCTTTGAACTTAGATGAATTAAAGATAATTTTCGATATTTCTCAACTTAGATATTTCTTCCTTATTAACGTATTTACCGTGCATATGCATATGCTTGTTTATGATTTTCCACCGCGACTTATTCTAAGTGGCATGGAACCATGTTTTGGTTGGCCTTGTTTTCTTTTCTTTTAGGTTCTTCGTTGAGATTGGCCGATCCATTGCAATTTTTTTCTTGTTATGGGAAGGGGTTTGGATAAGCGGGCTCAAGGCCCAAACAGAAACTTTCATTCTAAGAAAAGTAGTAACAGAACAATCAGAAAAAAAATTTCCGACAAAAAAAAAATTCAGCATAAAAGGGAAGAAAAATAAAAATATGTAAGTGGTGACTACGTTTTGTTTCATGTATTTCATAATACAAATAAAAAAGAATCTTTTAAAAACAAAATACATTTAATTAAAAATCGGTTTGAGCCTTTGCATTCTTTTTACCTCCCACTCGATCTTAGGCATGTTTCAGTAAATTATTCTAAAAGCATTTTTAGATGAGAAAAATAAAAATAAATAATTTTTTTCATAAATTAAAATTAGTTTATACATAAGTTAGTTTGTAAAAATTCTTTTCTACTAATCTCTAAAATTTTATTTTCAACTTATGTATAAAATAATTTTATCATCTATTCTTTTTTAGTCATCTCAATTCTTTTCTCTTCAAAACAAAACATAAGAGTATTTCTAGAAAAACATATATAAACATGACTTATTCATTATGTGTGTAGACTTCTATGCGTCAAATTCTTTTATTTATGAGATTAGTCATATAAGAACGAGTCATTTTTTAATTAACACAAAAATTAAAAAATCAACAATGAGATTGTATCTATATTAATATAAACAGAATATATTTTTTTAATAATTATTTTATATCTCCACATTTATTGAACTATTATATCTCTCGTATATATGTTATCTATACTAATTTATAAATATATATATATATATATATATATTAATAATTACATTAAATGTTCCTTTTTTTTTCTAATTATTCATATTTGAAAGTGATTAATTAAGACAGTTATGCAATATCAACCAGATTTAATGTGATATTTTCACTAATAAGGACATTAATAGGTAGATTTTATGCAAAATATTTGATAAATTTTTTAACAAAATTTGAATATAAGAACTAAAATAAGATTTTTTGAAATTATAAGGACTAAAAATAATATTTTAAATTTGAAGGACAAAAACAGAATTACCCTAAATTTGAGGGACTAAAAACATATTTAAGCCTATTTTTTATTTAACTCATTTAAACAATTTACAAATAATATTAAGTATAAAAATATTTTTAAGTTAGGATTAAAAGAATTTCTTATTAGTTATTATGTATACAATAAATATATATATATATATATTAAATCTAATAGTATGTTAGACCCACGTAATGTTAAATAATGCAACTTTAATCATTATATTAATTTGACATCTAATATTTAAAAAATTTCAATTCTTTGGTTTGAACTCATTACCACGTAAGTGAAGACAAGCAATAATTCGTTCAGTTTTTAGGGTGTAAACACCAAAAAGCTTTTGCTGTTGTTGTTTGTATACATAATAACTAATAAGAAATTCTTTTAATCCTAACTTAAAAATATTTTTATACTTAATATTATTTGTAAATTGTTTAAATGAGTTAAATAAAAAATAGGCTTAAATATGTTTTTAGTCCCTCAAATTTAGGGTAATTCTGTTTTTGTCCTTCAAATTTAAAATATTATTTTTAGTCCTTATAATTTCAAAAAATCTTATTTTAGTTCTTATATTCAAATTTTGTTAAAAAATTTATCAAATATTTTGCATAAAATCTACCTATTAATGTCCTTATTAGTGAAAATATCACATTAAATCTGGTTGATATTGCATAACTGTCTTAATTAATCACTTTCAAATATGTTATTGATAATCTAAAGGATTAAGAAAAGACACTTGTAAATTACAAGGACTAAAAATAATAATTTTAAATTTGAGAAATCAAAAATAAATTTATTTTAAATTTGAGGGATTAAAAATATATCTAAACCTAAAAAAAATATAGAGATGGGCAATGCGCATAGTGGTGGGAACATTCTCTAGTTTGAAAAATATTTTTGGTTTTTTGGGCAGTAAGGCAGTAACTGCCATAAACGGCCGTAACTAAGTCACATACCAAAAAAAAAAAAAAATGTTAACGATCCTTACATGTAAAGTATAAACTCAATTATTTAGCTTTGTGTGGGACTCTTATTGGTTATTGGAGTATATTTTAATTTAATATGTGGTCCTTGAGAAGTGGTGCCCAAATTCTTCAAAATACAGAAAATAAAAAGGGTAAGGAAGAGAAACAAGAATATACTAAGCACAAAACACTTGGTATTATTTTACATGCATAGATAAGCCACAGCCTGCTATCAAATAAGCTGGCAGGAACAAAACGAGACAGATCCTACGATCTGTAATTTAACATTTGCTTGCAATACATAACAATAACACAAAAGAGGGGTTTGGAATATGAGTTAATTTTGGACACGTTCAACTTCACTATCCCAAACCCAAACCATTACTCTTTCTCGTACTTCACTTGTATTCAAGGATCATGTTGTTCTCTGGAGCTAATCCAACACAAGCTCTCATGATGTTTTCCAGCATAGCTCGCTGCTTTGACAATGCATTCACCACTGGGGTACCAGGTGGAACCTGTAATATTTGTTGCCCTCACAAGTTATGGAATCAACCTTTCACAAATTTATAGTAAAATAGAGAATTCATTAGTTAGTTGCTAAACTTACAAGAGGGGCCTTGGACAGGTAACTGAGGATGGTCGCAACTGGGTGGAATGAGTGGAACTTACCCTGTTAATTAAAGCCACAACTCTTTGAGTCTTACAAAGCTGAAAATAACATACATACATGCAAAGATTGGAATGATTAAAGCAACCTATAACAAACCTCATCCTCAGCTTTAAACTGGATTCGAGTGCTAAGCTCAGCAAGAAGGACAAGGTCCAAGATGATAGGAGCAGCTAAAAGTGAATCCTCACACGTGTTGTGTAACACAATTGTGTTCTTTCCACCCATGAATATTTCTGAAGTGTACTCATCCATGGCCCTCTTGCTGTCCCCAACATAAGGCACATACTACAAAACAAACAAACAAACCAAAGACTCAAATAAACAACCAATTAATTATATTCGAAAATAGATTCAAGCAACCAAGATTTCAATAGGTTGTCTTGTTGCTCATAATTTTCGAATGCAGCATTTACCGAACCCTTCCGTTCATCATCCGTAGTCAAGAATTTTGCAGGGATTGATGTGGCTCCATCGATATGTCTTTGTAAGTAGAAACCCTTGATCATCGCTTCTGCATGTTGCATCCAGGTGAGGAAATTATCATCCGTTAGTTTGGATGAGATCGCATTGGAGAAGACATGAGGGTGAAACGGAGTTTCTGCGAAAGCCATAAGAGACACCTAGGATCGTGGCGTAACTGATACCATGTGAAGGTGTGAATCTCCGTTTGAGAGAACTGGGAGAACAGAGAGAACAGAGAGAAAAAACTTCTATTGTTATTGTTAAAATAAATTTGAATCTGTTACAATAGAAAAGCTACACTATATATATATAAAACAACTTAACTGACACTTATATCAGTTTTACCTCTAACAATTATTATAAGAAAATGCAAACAAGCACGAAAAAGAATTAAAAGGGATATTAATTGCTTTTCCAAATTCACCCTTCCTTACTTTATCAAAATCATTAAAAATAATAATAAAAAAAGAGACAAAGTCCACAGTTTGACTATCTGGTCTAAACGTGAAGGGAATAAAGTGATAGATTGGTTAGTTAATTTGTGTCCCTCAGCGGCACCTAATGGTTGTGGTGAATTCTTGTATGACATCTCTCCATGTCACACATAATAAGTGATAACAACTTTCATTTGTTCAAATTCTACATCACCTTCTAACCTTTTAACAGCTTCGCCTTTCTATGACGTGTATTATCGGTGACAAAGATTGAAAATGACTCCACACTTGGTAAGCAGTGATTATCTGCTCCTAACAACTTATTCATTCCAAAGCAATCAATTACGGGAATCATATGAAAGAGTAACTATTCTCATTAATGGAAAAACAACCAAATACTCTAACACCCTTCAAAATCCATCTACCAAATACTCTAACACCCTTCAAAATCCATCTTCACTTACAACTCAAGCTCAGACCACTTTTTACCATCACCATGTCTTTGCGCCTTCTGCTCTCTTACTTCTCAATATAGAACAATATTCTAACAACTAACATAAAACCAAAACTCATCTGTTGCTCTTTTTTTTTCAGATTTCTAATTGAATAATAATTATTTCAAACATTAATATAACAATTATTAAAAAATTGTTATCAACTTAAGAAAGAAAAAAAAAACAGCTAAAGTGTCAACATGTAGTTAAAAGGACAAAAACACAGATTATAAAACACACAAAAAAACCAAAAGATTTTGTTTCCTTTTAAATCAAATCAAATTCATTTAATTGGGCTCAAAAATCTTTGTCACGTATATAATTTTTTTAGGTACAAGACTAGAGTGAAAAATCACGTAAATATAGATATTAAAAGATTAATTAAATCTTCTTTTAAAAAGTGGAAAAAAAATTGATGGTTTGTTTCTTTTATATTAAGAGGGTTTAAAGAAATAAATGTGCAAATTGGATGGGAAGCTAATGAAACTTTAACTGGCCTAATTCTCATGTAGACTCTTAATTCAGCGGTTAAATTCATTAAAAATTGTAATTTTTTTAAAAAAAATCAATAATTAAAAAGTGTGATAGAAAGATAATGTTAAGAGAATTTCGTTAACATTTTCTATAATATACACATCTATTTTTATTTGGAATATTTGTGTGATTTTGTGTACGTATTTTCTTTCTTCTTTTACACTTTTTACCCTATTAAATAGCTTGTAAAATTATTTTACTTTCTACTTATTTTCTTTTCTTATTCTTTTATATATATATTCCTTTTAGTTTCTTCTCCAAACCTAACATAGGTGAAAAGAGAAGTAGAGAATAATTGAAGGGAAACTGACAAAAATATATTATTAAAGTGTGGGGCTTAAACAGAAACATTTAGCTTTCAAAGGATTAATCAAGATAATAACATAAATAATATTTTTATTTTGTATATATAGGATTAAAAGTATATTTATAAAAACAATTCTACTCCAGTCAGAGTGCATTGAAATGAATTCTTTGATATCAGTAAGATATCAAGATAACTAATTAAAATTACATAAAGAGAATGAGTAAGATATATCAAGTTAACTAACCACAAATAATAGAATGATTGGTGGTTTATGTTTATTTTTTAATCTTTGATATAACTGAGTCAACAACACTTTGATGACGCATCGCTTGAAATGTGGGAAAGATAAAGTGGGAGGGGTTGAAAGAAACTTTTTCTAGAATCAATGCCTCTCTACTCTGCAAGTTGTAATCGAAACGCTTCGCAGCAATCGTCATTGAACCTTTTGACGAACGAACTATTGTGTCTGTTCTTTTGTGAATGGTCCCACTAGCTACTGCATATTTCACCCAGTTCCAAAATACTAGTTTCTTAATCCACAAAATTCAGATACTAAAATATCTACTATTCTTCTATTACAATTAAAGTTTATCATCATAATATAATCCAAGAATGAAATTTTTATCACCATAATATTCATCAATATTAATATTAATTCAAATTCTTTGTTAAACATTTTTTCAAAGTTCAATTTGATTGGAGAACATAGTAATACATGCGCTATTATATCCTTAATTTTAGCATTTGTGAATTTGATAAATTATTGGAGATTTCATGTCCACTAATGATGCAATATTTGTTTGGTTAAATTTTTTTTAAAAGTATTTTTTAATAAAATAAGTATCTTTTTTACTTTTTAATGTATTTGTCTAGACTTATTTTTAATTTAAAAATAAACAAAGTTTTTTAAAAACAATTTTCATGTATTTCTTAAAGGGTTAATTTTTAAAAAATTGTTTAAAAATATATAATTTTTTTTAATTTAAACAAATAGACTCATAATCAAAATAATGTATAGAAAAATATTATTTCAATTATTAGTAAACAATGATACTCAAAGTGAATTTGGACAAAATATTAGAAGTCAAATATTGAGTAATGATATCATCAAATAATGTAAACAATAAATAACATTGACTTAGGATTTAGCCCAAGATTACATTAAGTTGGTATTTGAATTTTCTTAACTATTTATTATTAGACCTATTAAATCATTCATTATCAAATTATTTATAAATGTTCAATATTATAAATTTTGCATTCAACATCTTTAGTTGATCATTTTGTTTTAGTTATAACATATATCCTTTGCAGCGAACAATCTTGTTTGAATTATATAAATATATTATGAATAATCTTTTAAGTAGTTAATGTCGATGCATATACAATATTTTGAAATTTAGCAGAATTGGTATCTTTAAGCATGCTAATCAGGTTTTAATATAGAGTTTTATTGAGAGAAGTACAGACCACTTTTTTGTATAGGATTTAAATGAATTAAATCTTCTGGTTACTGTTTAAAAAATGGATTTTTATGCTATTAAACAAACATATATTAACTACTTTTTTTTTTTAAATCTCAAAAAATAATTACTAGATTATTTTACATCGGAATAAAAACAAAATTAATAATCTAAGTTTTTTATTAAGTGATAGTGGTACTTTATCCGAAATCCTTAATATATTATTAACTTTCTACCTAATAGTTATAATAGTGTCATTTCCTATTTATATTTTTAGTAATAAATTTTTTTAAAACAATCATGAATTATTCGCATCTGTACTCGTCTTTATTATTTTTTTAAAACAGAATTACCTTGATCCAAACTTGTACTCCTTCGAACAATGATTTTTCTTCTCATTATAGGTGATTTTAATAAATATTTATTAAGTGGGGATTCGGTTACCATCGCTATCCTACACTAAATCTTTGTTGGTGGTAAAGAAGCACAGGTAATAAATATGGAATTACCAATTCATTCATAAGTCAAAACTTAACCACGCAATTCGGTCAAAACTTAAAATTAAATCGCCACATCATTCGTACAAAATCCTTTTGTACTCTAACCAAAAAATACAATAAAAATTCCTTTCGTATCAAAAAAAAAGAGAGAAAAAGGCAAATTTGATAAGTAAAATAATAATAGAGAAAAATATATAGTATTTAGTGTTGATTTGTTTATAGAATCTATATGCGAGTATGCGTTGCTATCGAAATAAAAATGTATGTGTGAAGTATCAATTATGTTTTATGTTCTTAAATATTATTTAATACTTACTTTATTAAGTATTAAAGAACTAAAAATAATTGGCAATATTCATCTCCATTTATAAGGCATTATTTGTTTTTGTCTTCAGTGACCCACACCTCACTTTGTGGGTCATGTGAGACTCTTTTCTCCGGAAAGAATGACAATTAGACTCACGGGACAAAGCAAAATAAACATTTTAAAATAAATACATGTGAGTCTAAATCAAAAAAAAAAAAAAAAAAAAAAACACATTAAAAATAATACTATTTCTGCGGAAGTGCTGTATGAACAACGGAATTCAATCGCCTGAATTTTCATTTTTAATGAACAATGATGCATTAACAAAAAAAATTAATTACCGAAGGAAAAACATTAGCTTCATAAAATACCTTTTTGTTAAGGCGTCAATTTTTTAATTAAAGATATAAAAGATAACCAGAAACAAATATGATCTAAATGCACGACGAATATGACACGAGACAATATTGTCGACCTACTTTTTTATGTCACTGATGAGTCATTTCATGTAAAAACTTGCGTCACACATACTACTTCTCATATGTTATCTTTAAAGGAATATGATCGAACATTTTTTTTATATACTTTTCGGCTAATTTTTAGGGTGGCTAAATCCAAACCTCTGGGTTCCTCTCTTACGAAGGAGACAGGAAATGATATATGGTGATGGGCAATTTTCAATATACTCCATGCACGAGAAATTATTAAACGGTAGTTGAATTATTATATTTATAGTCTCAACTAATTAATTTTCATTTTACAATATTAATGTAATGTTAAACATGTTTTTCTATTATACTCTTAATAATTATTAATATTTTCTATAATTATTGGTGAAAATTCAAAAGGTTTAAAGGTATATTAAAAAGTTATGTAATTTATTTTATACAATCAAACATTAATCGTATTTTTAAGTGATGAAGCAATGAAACGGAGCAAGTACAGCTTAGTGTTTAAGAAAAATCTAGGCAAAGATATTTGCACACTGTGAAGTCTATATATATGTTATAGTCATAGACACTATCCTCTTGCGTAGCACTCACTCCACACACCAAAAGTGTTGTAAGATGAGCAAGCAGTTGTTCTACGCGAACCTTTTGCTTGCTTTCTACTTCTCATGTTGTCACTATGCCGTTGCTCAGACTGAAAATTCCGTTTTGCCACTCAAAGCTGTGAATCTTGGAAATTGGCTTGTTATTGAAGGGTGGATGAAACCTTCTCTCTTTGATGGAATAACCAACAACGATCTTTTGGCATGTTGATCATCTCTATCACTTATTATTTATTAATAAGTTTCTATCATACAATTTTGATCATTGGCAATGCTTTCTATTCCCAGGGTTAAATTATTCCTAGTCCCCTTAACTGTAACACTAATTTGGTCATTCAGGATGGAACTCAAGTGCAGTTCATGTCTACCAAGTTACAAAAGTATCTGTGTGCAGAACATGGGGGAGGAAGTATTGTTGTTGCCAACCGCACCAAAGCTTTGGGTTGGGAAACTTTCAGGGTTGGTTCCTCAACTTATATACACTTTTAAGAGTTTTATTTATTTAATTTATTTGTTACACATTTGTGATTTTGTATATTTAGTGACATTTTTTAACCGTCAACAACGCAGTTGTGGAGGGTCAATGAAACGGCCTTCAATTTTAGAGTTTCCAATAAGCAGTTTGTGAGATTGACAAATCAAGATGAAGGAAACACATTATTGGCTGATTCAGATTCACCTAGCGACATGGAAACATTTGAGATTCTGAGGAGCGATGATGACCCAAACAGGGTTCGCATCAGAGCATCAAATGGTCTGTTTTTGCAGGTACTTTAGTCTTATTTGTGTTATTAACTGATCACATGATGATTTTCAACCTTCTCAACTAATGTTTATAATGTTTCTATACTCTTGATATTGCCTCTCAGACCATATCAGAGACTGTGGTGCTTGCAAATTATGAAGGGTCTAGTTGGGATGATAGTGACCCTTCAGTCTTCAAAATGAATGTTTTGAAGGGTACAATTATAAGGGGTGAATACCAAATTACAAATGGTTATGGACCAGATAAAGCTCCCAAAATCATGAGGGTAAATACATAAATATGTGCTTTAAAAGAGAACAAGGAGCAGCAATTTATATAAGATTTTAATTGATTAATGATAGAGTTATTGGGGCATGCAGGATCACTGGAATACATACATCACTGAAGATGATTTCAAGTTCATGTCAGAAAATGGCTTAAATGGTGTTAGAATTCCCGTGGGGTGGTGGATAGCCCAAGATCCAACGCCACCAAAGCCATTTGTTGGGGGGTCCTTAGAAGTGCTAGACAATGCCTTCACATGGGCAGAGTAAGACCAATTAAGGGCTGGTACCCTGTCAATTTGGTTACAGTGAAAATTGGAAAAGCCACTTTGTCTATCACTTGTCACAATAAAATGTCACTCTCTAATGTCATTGTAGGAAGTATGGAATTAATGTAATTGTGGACCTGCATGCTGCACCAGGCTCACAAAATGGAAGACCCCACAGTGCCTCAAGAGATGGATATCTAGAGTGGGGAGATTCATACATATCTGACACGGTGGCAGCCATAGACTTCCTAGCTGAAAGGTTTAATTTATAGTTAGCTATGTCCCTTTTGATTTTCTAAAAATATGTCACCAATCACCATCTTCTAGCGTCTTTGGAAATAAGTTCCAAAACCATGTTAAATAGTAGCATATGAATGAATATAAATGGAATGGACACAACACACAACATCAATCTATATATGTTTTCTTATATGCATGTGGCTCCAAAATTGCTTTTCAGATATGCTAACAGACCAAGTCTTATTGCAATAGAGCTAATGAATGAGCCTCAAGGGGTAAACTTGGAAAGCCTTAAAAGCTATTATCAAGCAGGTTATAATGCTGTTCGGAAACACACATCCGATGCCTATGTGATCATGTCTAACCCTCTGGACAGAGATTCAAAAGTGCTTCTATCCTTTGTTGGAGCTTTCAGTAAAGTGGTCATTGACGTGCATTACTACAATCTCTTTTCGGATAGGTTCTCAAACATGAATGCGCAGCAAAACATTGATTTTGTTAAAAAACAAAGAGCTTCGGATCTTAGCTCTCTCACCACATCTAATGGACCCCTCATTTTTGTTGGTAAGTTTCTACTTTTACATGTGCATGAATATAAAATTAAAATGCATGAGATTTAGATAGCCTTCTTTTAAATTTCTTTTAGGCTAAGAAAAGTATAGCATATGATATTAACGTGTTGGTGGAATCTGGCAGGGGAGTGGAGTGGTGATTGGAAAGCTCAGAGAGCATCAAAGAAAGATCACCAAAAATTTATGCAAGTCCAAGTGGAGGTATATTCTGGTGCCAAATTTGGATGGGCTTATTGGGCCTACAAATGTGACTCTAACTTCTGGGACATCAAGTGGATGATTGAAAACAATTATGTTAAGCTTTAATTACTATGCCCCTGTGCTCTAAAAAGAGTGTTTTACATGTCTATTCAAAATTGGAAGTGTAATTTACAAAAATAAAGATAGCCTACTACTGCTAAACAAAAACATATAAAGTTCGGTAATTGTATGAATGATGCTGCAACTTTCGGTTCTTTGCATTACCTTCAATTTTTTTTTTCTTTCACACCAATGTCTTAAAATTTTATGTTAGACTAATTTGATTTTTGGATGAGAAATAAGTAAATTATTAAAAGATGGTTCCAAATATATAAATGTTGAAAAGCTTAAATTATTCTTCCCTGAAGTTACCAAATACCAAATAGTCTTCATTTTTTTAAGGCTTCTACGTCCAACTGGCTTCTTGGTTGTGCCACCTCTTCCTAAACTACGAACTTAGTAAATAGCCACAATATTTTTTTTAACTATGGTATTTAATAAGCAATAAATGGAAAGTCATAATGCTTGATGTGAATGTTGAAGTAATAGAGAACCCCAACAATTTTTCATCACAGTTGTGGCTTTTTTTCATTAATAAACTAGTCCAACTGCCAAAACGGTTCGGACTTAGAGGCAAAATACCTTGAACGTTACCAATAAATTCATCAATAGAATTTCGTACAGGTCTTTGGTGTTAGTTATTTTCAAAGAGTTTTGATGTCCCTTTTTACTTGGCCAATGAAGTTATGACATGTGTGTTTCCTCATTATTCATATACATAATTAATGCACTTTTATTATAGATAGGGTAAAAGAATTCACAATAACATCCTACAAGAAATTGTTATACATAAATTATATAATAAAATTATTATTTACAAAAAATACTTAAAATTTATATATATCATATTTTTTATTGAATAACGATTTTATAATGCATTCCTATTAAACTTTTTTATTTATTAATATTTTTGCCAATATCTTTTGAAATAAGATATGACTCTTAAATTCCTTTGCACTCTCGCAATCATGATTAGGATTCCTTGTGAGCCAATTTTTGGTAGCCCAACCACCATCTTCCATTATCCTTTGAAGCACCAAGCGAGAACGGTTGTGATGGACTAGTTTGAAGTTTGAATTGGATACCATTAATGTAACATGCTTATAAAGAAAATATTCAATTATCTAGCAGAATTGTGCTCTACAGATTCAACACTTTTATTCCCTTCAAAGTTCAAATTTTGTATTAAACCTCCTCGATTAATGAGGGTACAATTATAATTACGGTCATAGTATTCTATACATTTCTTTTATAAGAAAAAAAATCACTTATTTTTCATTTCCTCCTTTTCTTACGAATTAAAAAAAGGCATAAATAAAAGCATTAATAATGTGGCAATAGAAAAATAAAATATTTGTTACTATTAGTCATTCAATTATTCTGTATGAAATTTGAAATCCTTCCAAAAATTCTACACAAATTAGTGTCAATATCATGGATGGAGTTAGGATCTTCTCCATTTTCTTTTCTCTTTATTTCTTTTATTATTAATATTTTAAAAGTATAAATGTAGTTCATTCTAAAGTATGCATCAAATTCATCGATTTTATTTTATTAATTTTTTCAAACAGTTTAAGAAATGGAAGAAATACAAAGAAAAATAAATGGAGAAGATTCATTTTTATGTGTTGTAATTGGTGATAAGTTAAAATTCCATTGAGAGATAGTTGTTGTTGTTTAAGTTATTTATGTTGTCATATGTATGTTGAATTCTTTTTACAAACTTAACATGTACCTGTATAAGGATACACCAATGATCTTCTTGTATTCTGAAGGCCGAACGAGTGTTCTAAACGAGTATTCCGATCCAACGTGAGTAGACGGGTTTGTACCTGCAAAAGGCACTCCGATGCTCAAGTCAGCACAAGCACGGAAATCTAGAGTAATTAATGAACAGTAACGTTACCTTTTGACCTGAGCTATTTATATTGACAATCGTGGGCCTTGGACCTTATGGGCTCTGTAACATACTTACCGTATTAGGTAATACTTCTTAATCAGCTAATTAACCCTTAATCATTTATTAAAGATAATTAATAAAGATAAGCCGAACCAGGTGACTGATTGACAATCGGCCACCTGGTTCGGCCATTCGGCGGCCGATAAGAGGGTGGCTGAACGCCAAGCGAGAACGGTTGTGATGGACTAGTTTGAAGTTTGAACTGGATACCATTAATGTAACATGCTTATAAAGAAAATATTCAATTATCTCGCAGAATTGTGCTCTACAGATTCAACACTTTTATTCCCTTCAAAGTTCAAATTTTGTATTAAACCTCCTCGATTAATGAGGGTACAATTATAATTACGGTCATAGTATTCTATACATTTCTTTTATAAGAAAAAAAATCACTTATTTTTCATTTCCTCCTTTTCTTACGAATTAAAAAAAGGCATAAATAAAAGCATTAATAATGTGGCAATAGAAAAATAAAATATTTGTTACTATTAGTCATTCAATTATTCTGTATGAAATTTGAAATCCTTCCAAAAATTCTACACAAATTAGTGTCAATATCATGGATGGAGTTAGGATCTTCTCCATTTTCTTTTCTCTTTATTTCTTTTATTATTAATATTTTAAAAGTATAAATGTAGTTCATTCTAAAGTATGCATCAAATTCATCAATTTTATTTTATTAATTTTTTCAAACAGTTTAAGAAATGGAAGAAATACAAAGAAAAATAAATGGAGAAGATTCATTTTTATGTGTTGTAATTGGTGATAAGTTAAAATTCCATTGAGAGATAGTTGTTGTTGTTTAAGTTATTTATGTTGTCATATGTATGTTGAATTCTTTTTACAAACTTAACATTTCTTTTCTTTGTAGTTAAAACTGTAATTATCATATTTTATATGAAGAAAGAATGAGATTAGTAGGATAATTTAGATAATAGTGAATATTGATGCAACATGAGCAAACTTTGCAACTCACATATGTGAGGCAGAAATATATATTTTAATGTTATATCTATAGAATGTTGACACTTTATGAAAATCTCCAAAAGGTAAAGGATGCTTCATCAATTTGTTTTAGCAGAATAAAAATAAAAGGTTGAGATTATTTATATGTGAGGCACCGCATTTTTATGATTTAAGTTTCATTTTCTTTGAAAATTCAAAAACGATAATATTTCATCTTCAAATTTGGAATCTTTTTGAAAATGTTTTTTTTTTATATTTTATAATAAAAATTAAAAGCATTTTCACCCAAAGATTTTTATTTTCAGTGAAATGAAAATAGAAAAAAGGCATTACCAATTAGGCCCTTGATATTTTAGGATTTAAACACATTATTATGTAATAATTTTTTTCCAAACCAATATTGGTAGATACAAATCATAACGACTTGTGTCTCATAATTAAGATATTTAAGATTTGAATCTTGATATTAAATATGCAATAGATTATTTTAAGAAGAAAATACTCATTTTATATGACCTCACGATTCCCAAAATAAAGTAGTCACTATTTCTGAAGGTGAATATTCCATACTAATATCATGATTATAAAATAAATATATATAAATTTTTCCAATTATACTTTTATGTGTAATTAAGGCTAATTTAAGTGGAACATTAATGTTGTTTTGAGTGAAACATTATATTATATAGAAATATAAATAAAGTAATTGAAAATATTGCAAACATTTGTAAATTAATAAATGAGAGTAATTTAATGTAGATATATATAAATTAAATATTTATTAATTTGTTTGCAAAAGACTTGAAGAAACCAGAGTTTTGAAATGGAGAGAGTAAGATTCGACAACGTTTATTATTTTTTGCACCAGTGCTGATTGAGTTCTTAAATGATCATATAGTGGGCTCCATAACTCACACACACACTCTCTTTGTTGTTATTCTTTTAAAAGAAAATTATAAAAAAAACGGCTTTTTTATACCAAAACTCTTTCTTCACCTAATTGTTGCCTCATTCCCCTCCGATAGGAGAAAGAGTTAAAAATAGATTCTTAACTTAACAACTTGCATAAAAATCATCCGTTGAAGATGGTCTAACTAGCTAATAGTAGTGCCATTTCTGGCAAATAATTTTTTAACAGAGTTTTTTTTTTTATTTTGTACAATAAATAATTATTTCTTTAAAATAAACCGAAACAAACATTAATTGTTGTTTAATTAGAAGATGACAAAATACATACTGTTATATATTATATATTAAAATATGATAAATGATTATGTCGTTTGGATTTTAAATTTTATATGTGAATAAAAAAATTAATTAAAAATATTATTTTGATAATTGAAAAAAAAAAGTATTTGAGAAATCAACCCCTCTTGTCAACAAAGAGAGTGACCAAAGCTGCCTAAGCCCAACACGAAGTTGTCGTTATGTCCCTTTTGAGTGGGATAGTTAGACTACAAAAATTTGGGCCTACTTCAAGAATAAGGCCGACTAAATGACTTATTGATTTGGGTGTGATCAATCATCAAAGTGGTTGATTTTTCACCATTTTCTTAAATTAACTAATATTTTAACTTGTTTGTTGTATAATTTTTTTTTGTATAATTCAAATTTATAATAAATCAATATATATTTAAATATATAAATTATATTTTAAATTTATAATAAATGATTTAAATGGTGATATTAAATTATTTTTAATTATTGACATTTTTTTTTCTAAAATTATTAAAATATAATTAAAATAAAGATAAAAGACAGGGTTACCATCCCAATTTTTTACCAACTAGTGTACCATTCTTGTAGTTTTTGACTAATGTACTATTTAGGTACTTTACGGACGAGTGTACCATCTAGGGATTATTGATTAAGTATCATGTTAATAAAATGTTAAGTTAAGATATACTCAAATTATAACCAAGGAATACTTCATCCGACTTGATGACTCAAGCAAAAATTAAGGAGCTCTATTAGTAAAATATGGATCCGGAGAATCATGCAACAGTTACGATAATGATAATAATGACTAATTCATTACCAATAAGAACATTAATGATATGATACCATTTCGGGATTGAGACATAAAAATAAGATTTTTTGTGCAAGAAGGTTGGCCCTAATATGTAGATGTTTTCCAACAAAGAGGAGGGGAGATTAACTAGTGTTCTAGGCTTGGATAGTCGCTAAGTTTTTTGATGATCGTCCTCCACTCCTCCATAACGAAATAACAATATATCG